TATTGAAATCACTGCATTGTTGCAAGTTAACATAACTAAACTCTCCTTCAAACAAACAAAAGGCCCTACAGTACAAACTACAAATTAGAACTAAAACGATCCCCAACCTTTACCACATTATATAAAATAACAATCTAATGGATAATGAGCAAATCTAAGGTAAAATAGTAAATATAAAATGCACTTTTCGTATGTAAAATTGTTTACTAGGTTCATAATTGAAATCAAGGAGTCTATTTCAAAGATTATTTCTAGAACTATCGTACCAATGTTTTCGCTCATTCTCATAAGGGCTAGTTCAGATTGAACATAAATTTTCTAACAAAATAGTCGCACTATGACTACTAAAAAATGATTAACACCAATAATTTGAGATGAATATATATATATATATATATATATCAACAACACCATGATGGACTTCAGCATCTATAATGATGACTTCCATAAAGATGACTATTGTGATTCAGGGTGCCCATAAGCAAGGTAACAAATGCCACTTGTACTGGTTAGTACGTGTATATATATATATATACTGATCCAATAGCCAACCAGAGTGTAGAACAGCTGATTTCAGTCGCTTGGTACCAACATGGGCGATACCACACATTCAGTTCACAGTACCAGGCTTACCCTGTGGTGAACAGTCTGGAACCAGGTAGTAAGTTAATCACTCAGTCTCTATAATCTCTTTGTAGTTTTGAACAAATGAGCAATGGCAATTATTTTTATTCTTTGATTCTGGCATTCTCTCTCTTTCTTACATGATCTTTCTCCTCTCACTTGATCTCTCTTTCCCCCCTCATTTGTCGCCTCCTCCGCTTCGCTGTCACATCGTTGCATCATTGCTGCCACATCCTCTGTCCCGTAGCACACTGTTGTCGCCTTCACCACCTCGTCTACATCACCATTCCCTCCTCTTAGTGATATGCCTTTTCCTCCGCCACCTCTTCCTCCTTCGCTTTCTCTTCATCCTCGCCTCTTCCTATTCCTCCTCCTCCTCCTACTAGTCCATCTTTTCCCTGCTGCCTCCTCCTTTGCTTTCTCCTCATCCTTTGCCTCTTCCTATTCCTCATACTAGTCCATCTTTTATTCTATTACTTCCTCCTTTGTCTTTTCCTTTTCCTTATCTGCCCCCTCCTCCTCTTATGACTTCTTTTCAACTTGTTCTTCTTTTGCCTCCTCCTCCTCCTCCACTCCTCTCTCTCTCCCCTCCAGTATGTACTGACCTATATCGGGTGTCACTATGTCAATGCATTCTGGTCCAACTATTGATTGGCATTGGCACTGAACCAATGATTTTAAACTTTTCTCATAAGGATGGCTTCCATGAAGAACTCTGTAGCTTCTTTTCAATCTAAAATAACTTAAAATAATTCCAAAGGAATGGAGAAGGAAACTAGCAACACAAATCATAATGCCACTAATGTGGCTATATTATTATTTTCAGCTAGTTGCAGTCAATCGTCTGCATTCAACCTCATTCAGCATTTAGCGGATATGTTTTCTGAGTCAAACTAACACGATCAGCTCATCGAATAAGTTATGCCAGATTAACTGAAGTGTCTGGAAACTGAAACAGTTGTCAGCAGTCATTGGTATAACATTAACAAGGGTGATTGCCTCATGTAACAAGTTCCCTACCAAATTCAGAGTATCGTTTCCATTTCCTGCAAGTGGAATGCGTTTGGCCTTCAAGCATACCCATTTTATGAGTGAAGCAAATACTTAGGCACATTACATAAAAAAAAATGAACTCCAGTTATAACAAGTCTTAAAAGATAGCTCTTCAACATGACGGATTATAGTAAAAGGGATACAAGCAACCTGGCTGCACTTGGAAGGGATTTGTTCTTGGCTGCATTTGTGATCCTCATACAGAGTTACCTCACCAGGAGAGTTGTGGTAAAAGCAGGACGCAATCTGCTTGAGAACAGTCATCTCCACGAGATGCTCCAACCTGGCACTAGGCACCCGCACCCACGGCGGCAGCACCTCAACCAAATCCAGCAGCAACCCCAATCTCCTGCGGACCCGGTCCTCCACATTAACAATACCCTCCGACGAAATGAGCAACCTTGCCAGCCCATGAACCCTCTGCCGGTCCATATCCAGCGGCGCAATCCTCTCCGACAGCACGTCCCTAGCCATCAAGAACCCATCCTTCAACCCCAAGAGTTCCAAGAAGTGCTCCTTCCACACCAGAAAAGCCGCAGCGGCCCTGGCTCCGCAATCCATATCCTCGATAGAGTCGATCGTGGCGATGCAGTCGTCCCACCGGCCCGCCATGACGTCAAGGAAAAGCGCAGTGTACTCCGGCGAGTCATGCGAGACCCCGGACTCCGATTCCAGCGTCGCGGCGGCTCGGCGGTACCCGAGGGAGTAGAGGCACTGCACGATGATCCTCACGAACTCGGTCCTCCGTTCGCCGAGCACCCGACGAGGAACCTCGCTCGATTTGGCGTCCGTAAGCGATCTGGGATCTGGATTCTCATTAGCTTCCATTCGTCCTGCAAATTCGCCAGTTTGGAGGGGCTTAGGGTTTGGGAAGCAACACTACAAAAGAGAGAGACCTCGGAAGGCTTGCTTGATAGACTAAAGAAGAAGAAGAAGAAGAAGAAGAGAGGCTTGAAAGTCCACAGCAGTGGCTTTGGGGGGAGGAGGAGAAGACGAGATCCAACGATGGCTTGCGAAATGCCAAACCTTTTTTAGCGGACGAAGAAAAGAATAAGAAATCGGATAAATTAACAAGCTGAAGAGGGGGATTGCTGGTTTGAGCTCCGACATGCACCTTCGCTGTCCCTACCCGTTCCCGACCACGCCCGCTTCTGCGCCGATTTGCATGCGGGTCCCACGAGAAAATGGTTGTTTCTCCGGCTATCAGACGGGTAAACTTCGGGGTAGTTACCCATGGAGCAGGAAAAGTGGTGTTGAGGGCGGATCGTTGGCAGATCGCAGCCGCCGGATGAGGATGATGTCGAGTGGTGGGAGGACAAGGCATGAACAGTTTTCTTTCCCCATTCTAGATTGAGCCTCCGGTTATTGGACCGAATGATGGGCGTCACGCAAGGAGAGGATGGGCCGCGGCGGAGGATGTTGGGGTGGTTGCTCGCGTGCCAACGGCCGTTGATGGGGTTCACTGGAATTCCCCCGGCACTCTGTTTTGCTGTGTGAGATTCCGTCCTCGGCACGCGCATGTCATTTTCTTGATCACTAGGCTGCAGGGGTTGTGAAGACATCGTTCAACAGTGTGAGTCACGCTGCCCGTTGTTCAGTTTGATTGATGTGGTTGATGACAAACATGGTTGCATTATTTTGGTATGATTATTTTGTGACAAAAATATTAGGGTGATTTTCTAGGAAAATCCTCTAATTTTTTTATTTTTCGAGATCATATCTCGCATTTTCATATTTTCCAAAGAGAATTTTTTTCTTGTATAAAAAATGAATATATCTTAAAAAAAGAGGGTTTCTCATTGTAGTCTAATTTAAGTTAAACTGTTTCAATATCATATTATTTTTTAATAGTGCTACAACGGTTTTGGTTTATGATGTTCTTGATTATTAAATCAAAAATCCTATTGCTTAATTCAAAATTATTATAATTTATTTTCTAAAACCAGTTATAAGGTTTTTTTTTAAATGCAGTGAACCATCACAAATTACTATTATAAAATTCAAAAACATTGTTACTCATTCTTTCACCATAAATTATCACAGATATTATAAGATTTTCTAAAATATTTAGAACTAAATTTAAGACAAAGTTATCAAATTAAACTTTTATCATATTTTATTTTGAAATATGTCAAACCCTCAGTAATATTCATCTAATTCCATTCTGATTCACATATTAGTTATTTTATAATATCTAAAGATCAATAGTAAATTGATAATTATGGTTGGTGAGGATTTTAATTAATTGAAACTAATTTATTGTGTTATCAATTAAACAAATTTATAGTGTTTTTAATTAAACCAATTTGTCACTGTATCTTGAGTCAATGACACAAACACTATAAATTCATTCAAAAATATTATAGACAAGGTTTTTCTATTATTATTATTATTATTTATTAAATAAAATAAATAAATAAATGTTGTAATATTTCAAAAAATATATTCCTAAAGTAAGGTTACATAAAAACATAAAAGTTTTTCATCCTTTATTTTGAAATATGTTAAGAGTTCTTAATCTTGATTCAAAATTACTTTAAAACACTCATCTAAAATATTTATGAAACCTTAATGCATATAATAAGGTTAAAAATTAAGGTTTGTGAGAATTTGAATAAATTAATATTATGTTACGATGCGGACATGGTTATAGTGTATTTAACTCAGTAACAAAACGTTTAATTAAAAAATACTGATTTCATTGAACCAATTGGTTTAACACCAAATACATTTAATTGGCTCGGACTACTTGGGATTCTACGGAAACTCAAAAAATAAAGCTATCAATTGTCAATGAGGATATTTTTATTATTTTATAAAATTGAGACTCTCTTAAGACATTTAAGAAATGAAGGGCTTTTTTCATAACAAAATCAAAATCAAAATTTGAGGCTTTTTTCATGAAATTGTCTGTTTTATTATGTATTTTGTAGGCAAAATTACATATTGATCGATCATCCATCTAAT